AGTCTTGAAAAAAATATACCACGGTTTTCAAAATATATTAAGCAGCGCAGCTGTTTTCAACAACTGATAATAATAACAAATGATTCTTGAGCAGCAAATCGTCATATTAGAATGACTTCTGAAGGATCATGTGATACTGAAAGCTTTGCATCAAAGAAAATTCAGCCGTTGCATTACAGGAATAAATTACATTTTAAAATATATTCAAAAATTAAAAAGGACATTTCTGTCATGACAACTCTTGGAGGGATTAAAATGGTAATGTACATGACAATGTTAATGTATTTGGTCTTGGCGGAATAGATCTGCTACGCTGCTGCTGCTACTGCTGCAGAGCAAGTACCGAGACCTACTGCCACTGCATCCACAACATGCTGCTGCAAATATAACATACATGAAATAACCCCATATAGCATACATGAATCACCTCGTAGCAGATCTATACAGGTGGAGCTGGGGAAGGTGGAGGGTTTCTGAAGCAAGCTGCAACTGCTACGGCAAGCACTAGTCATATATTTGAATGTTGAGCAGCGAGCTCATTGGCTACCGATACAGAAGAGAACCAATCAGCTGTGCCGTGTGATATTGATGTCATTAGGTCAGATTGAGTTAGACCTATCGGACTGCGCCATCTAGAGTTTCATGCCAGAACTGTATTTAATATTGTAACAATAAACAATGAAACTCTTTACCAGCCTCAAACTTTTGAATGGTAGTGTATATGGACTTCTTGTTTCTTTCTGGCAGATATGATCAGTATGAGCATATAAAATAAAATAGATTTTGAGTTTGAAAACACAAGAGGGTAAGTAAAGTTGGTTGGTTTTCAAAGACCGAGCTAATTGGACAGAAATGTTTGAGATACAGAGAATGAGACACGCCAAGGGAAAGTGATGCTTATTTTCAATGAGATTCCGTCAATATGTTTCCTTACCTGCTTTATTTGTTTTCCCCATGGACTGTGCCTCAACCACATTTCCAGGCTCTTTGGATTATAATAATAATGAATAATAATTTATGCATTTAGCAGACGCTTTTATCCAAAGCGACTTACAGTGCATTCATGCTATACAATTATTATTAATTACTATTTCTTTGCAGCTGGTGCATTGTCAGCAATGTACTTAGGACTGAAGGAAAACATGTTTTTGTGTTTTCTTTCACATTAAAGTTTACATGAATGTCTTTTTTCTCCTTACAGCTCCATAAAGTGGAAAGAGACAAGAAAACCATGGATCAAGAGATAGTGGAGCTCACGAATAAACTCGTGGATGCCAAAAACACTATCGACAAGCTGGAGGAACTGAATGTACGTGCGATAGCAGAGCTTTGTGTGTGTTTGTGTTTGAGGCACGTTTTGGACTCGAGTTGTCAGAGCTGCAGTGTTACTGGGATTGATAACTCCTGGAGCTGAAAATTGAAAGTTGCATGAAGAGGATCTGTGCTGAGATTTCACAGAAGTGTACTGTCAGATTCCAGAAATGATGTCTGGCTTTTGGAGCTTTACTGGGAACACGGAAAAGTCTCCTAATTCGTTTCGTTCTGATTTTAAGATTCAAAGTTGAATCAACTGCACATAAACACCACCACTCAACATGCACTTCCCACAAGGCTAGCATTTTGTAGATAAAAAAAAACAAAACAATGATCTGGTTGCATGAGGAAGGGCGGATTATCAAATTATATAAACACTATTCTTCTTTTCAAATTCGCTTCGCACACAGGACTGTAAATTAACTGACAGATTGGTATTCTGATAATGTTTTTTAAGATTTTAAGTAACTCCACAAGGAATAACAAAGCACCAGAATGCAGGTCGTTCTGAAATGTGCCTTTATTACACCACATGTATGAAACAGTGCCACAGGGAACTAATTATAGCACTGGAGAAACTGATAGTCGTCTGTTCACAGTGTTTAAACAGAGCGCTTCATCTCCTTAGACAGATAGAGCACACATCAATCATAGCTCCTTCCTCTGAGGTTGATGTTAGGACAATTTTTTCCCTTTATGGGCTTTTTAGTTATGAATCCTGAAGACTGCTACCCTGGGTTCGCTTGCAATTTCTGTATTGCATTAGTTTGGAATATTTCTCATGAACATTTAATATAAATAAATATATATATATTTATTTATTTATTTTTAATTATTTTATTTTTTTTACGTTTTAGTGAGAGTTAAATATTCTTTTTGGCGCATTTTACCTGTAAAAGAAAACCTGCTTAATAATTATGCACACCTCTTTTTTTTATGCTGACAAAAATTGGACATTAAAATAAGCAACGAGTTCACATTTAAAAAAAATAATAATTCATTTGTAAGCACAGTTTATATTAATTTACAAAACCGATTTCAAATTTCAAGCCTTTAACTCAACAGACTGTGAAACATGCATATGTCCAAACTTTTGACTCATACTGTGTGTATTTGCTTTTCTTCTTCCATAAATGACCATTTCAGTTCAATGAAAGTAAAGTGTCATTCCAAAAAGTTGATGTTTCCCTGACGCTTGTTCTTATATCCATTTTCTCTCCTCATGCAGGAACGGTATCGGCAAGATTGCAATTTGGCTGTGCAACTGTTGAAGTGCAATAAATCGCATTTCAGGAATCACAAGTTTGCTGATGTAAGTAGTAGTAACTGTTTCTCAGTTTTAAAGCACACCCCCTCCAACATTTTTAGGAACCGTTCACCAAACAATCTAATTCTGTTATTTATTCACCCTCATGTTTGTTTCAATCCCCTCTGACTGTTGTAAAGCACAAAAGCTTATGTTGTTAAGCACATTGTGTGAGCATCACTTTTCTATACAGTAAAAGCTGATAACTGTTGTAGTTTCCATGCTCCAAAAACAGTTGTCCATCTATCCTGTACCCTATATTCTGAAGCCATTCTATAGCTAGAACAGACCAAACCCAAAGTCAATGTGTGTATGCAACACAACTGTCAAAAACGATCTCCTGAAGTTTAAATATGTAATGTATATTACATATTTAATAAAAGCTTTCCAGTAAAGCTTGCAATCCACTTTCATTGTATGTAAAATAACAGCTGGCACATTCTGCAGAAAAGAAATCAGGTTTGGAATGACATGAGGATGAGTAAATGACATCAGCATTTTCATTTTTGTCTGAACTATCCCTGCAGCACAGAACTTGTTGGAGTCTGAATGTGTTTTGCAATCCGCAGTGACACTCGTGGACGGTGCTGAGAGAGAGAGAGAGTGCACGATTGCCCAGTGACTTTATTGTTATGGACATGGACCTTTGATTTTATGGACTGGGGTCAGAGAGAGAGATGAAGAGAAAGAGACCAAGAGAATAGAGAGGGCGAGGATTTAAAAAAAATTAGCCATGTCCGCAGGATGTGCTTTATGGCAGGGTTTAGCATGGAGAGTGTCAGTCGTGCTGCGAGACATGGCTGGTATTTGGATACGGACGGTCTCGCTGGCAGAGAAAAGGCACAGTATTGACAAGGTGCCAAACTCCAGACACATCCGTCTGTTTGGCCTTTGTGTCTGTCCGTGGGGGAAAATAGGACAGATTTCAGGCTGATGGACAGCTCTGTGTGTACAAGAACAGAGACGTATGATAAGACAGCTTGACCCCATGGGCATATGGGTATTGAACACATTAGGACATTATCACCTGTGGCCTGCGCTCTACATTAAACCCATCTATCACTCTGTCTGCCCTTGTTGTTTTATTCTGCAAACCGCATTAAGTCCTGGCCAAATCGAGGGCAACGCTTTTTTCATATTTGCTATTTGAACCGCTTGTCTTGTTTTAAATGCATTAATTCTAAGCACCTTTTTTATATTTAGTTATTTTTATGAGTTTTTTTTGTGTAGAGATTGGTATAAAATTGAAATGATCATTCTCTCAGCCAACTCCAGCAATATTGAAGTTGGGACACTTGTTGCCTGCTTTTCCTTTACTGATGTAATTCATGCATTTAAAATGTACATTTATATATAACAATTTTAGTTTTGTATAGACATTAATTCATAGGCACAATTTGTAGTTGTTGATCTTCCTCCTTGGCAGCAATTAATTCACAAAGGATCTTTCTTCATCCTTTTTTAATTTACTGAATTGACAGCAGTGACTAATCTCTAGAATTATGATCTCTCTAGGAGAACTATAGTGATGGAGTGAGTTCACTGGAACCTAGAATATATTTGATTCACTGTCCAGATTATCCTCTTGCCCTGCTCTCATGAACTCTGTAATTCATTACTCTGTAAGCAGAGACCACAGACTGTTTCTTGGGTTATTTTAAGGCTCGACTGAGCCAAAGCCATTACCTGTTTTCATCCTCTTTCTGCTAACATAAAGCCACTGTTGTAAAGCATCCACTTGTGAAGCATCATTGTCCAAATTCTCCAAATGAATGTCAAACTGATCTGCACTGGAAGTGCATATGCATCAAACAGGCCATTTGTGTATTCTATCACAGCTTTAGAAGTGCTTTGAGAACTTGAGAGCCATTATGTTTCAGTCCAGTGCTGGGAATCTGAGAGTTGTTATAGTGGCTCTCATGTAGAGCCAATTCTCCATACTTAGCTAAAGATGGAAATTATGCACAGTAATTGGCATGCAGTCTTTGACGGTTAAGTGTAGGTCACTGCAAAAATGAGAAGAATTGTAACTTGTACAATTGTAACTAACGACTAGCATGCCACTAGCTAAAGAAGATGCTGGTACCACTAAATGGTTATGCAAGTGCTATTGCAATTTTGTATGTGTTTGGTGCCATTTAAGAGGCTGAGCTTGTAGCCAGACTTTTGACTTACAGAATAAGGTCCAGTCCAAGAGCCGTGTATCGGATTGAAACCTAAAGTATACTTCAGTTTTTATGTGTATGCAAGGATATATGTGTACAGTTTTTGTTTTGTAAATTTCGTCATCAGCATTGTACATGTGCAACCCAATTTTTAACAGCGGTCACACATGCACACTTTGAATTATTTGGCCCACTAGGTGGCAACACTAGCCCAGGTCTTTGTTTCACGATCTAAAAAAGAAATGGAAGTGACAGAAGAACGACCAAACTACCAGAGACCTTGTGCGAGTTGGTTAAGAGATATTCGCAACTCCAGATTTAAGACATTTTTTCAGTCGTAACATCTGGAGAGAAATAGCTTAGACACTGGACAAAGATTTAACTTTCTAGTGCGCATTTGTCAGGAGTCTACTTTGAATGCTTATGTGTTTGGCTGTATGTATACACTAAGTGTTCACATCAAAACTTAAGTATACTTTACCAACCACAATTCCATTTATTTTATGTAATAATCAGGGGTAAGTAAGAATGAAATTGGATATAACACTGAAAGCACAAAACAGGTGATCAAGGATGTATAGTATTGTTTACGTGCTAGTGCATTTATGCATCAGATGGTCATTGAATGGTCTGTAAAGATATCGGAGCTGTCCTCATTTTCTGTGGGAGAAAGAAGTCTTGTTTTGCGTACCGTAGGGATTGGAGTATTGTAGCACTTTGTGTGACATCTGACTTCCCACAATAGCATGTGATGCTGCAGTGGTCATGGGATACTAATGCCCTCTGGGACAATTCATTTAGGCAGCGCCATGTAGATTTCTGAGCTAGAAGGCCACGAGGGGGTCATGCTTGGAAGTGTGGTCTGGACAGATCAATTCTCCCGTGCCCCACGCTCAGAGGAATTAAGGGCTTTGTGGGTAATTGCTGCCCCATAGGATCGTTACAACATAAGGCTGAGCGGGGCTGTGTGATCACTGAGTTTCCCTGCCTTTTTTCCACAAATCAATGACTTGGCCTGGCTTCGTTAAATCGTGTCACACTACAGAATGAAATAAAGGCCTCATCACCTGCCTTTTTTCTTTTAGTCTCTCTCTCTCTCTCTCTTTCTGTCTGTCTCACCCCTCTTCAGTAATAATCTAATTTGAGGTGAGCTGCTTACTCTTTATTCTTCTAGGCCGGGCAGATATTGGATGGTGTTAAATGAAAAACCCTATTTTCTGTTTTTCTTGATCATGACTGAGATAACCTTCATTGGGGCAGTATGGTAGATAGGCTTCATCAAACATCCTATTCATATCCCAGTGCATGTTAGTGAAATTGCACCTTTTAAGATTACTTGCAAGAAAGGATTGATCCACAAAATGTGAAAGCTACATAAATCTCATGACAACAAATGTGATCCCAAGAAAAAGGAAAGGTAAAAGAAAAAGATTGAGATCATTTATTTACCTTGGTGTTATTCCAAACTTTCTTTCTTGGAACACCGAAGAAAATTGTATGGACTATTTTATAGTACTGTCTTGTTCTTTTTGGAGCTTGATTTCCCCTAATCACAGCTGCGCCTATTGCATGAGAAAGACAGTGTAAACATTAGTGTTTTCCCAGTTTGTGTTCCATGCAAGAATTATGCATTCATATTTTAAGGCTGGTCCTTAAAAAGTCTTATGCCTAGAAACTGAATTAACTCTGATTATCTATTCAAAATAAGGCCATTTGAATGCCTGCTGGTGGTTACAATAAAGTTCTCATTATTCAGGATTTTTTTCAGGTTGATGGATAACTTGTCATTTTAACATTGATAACCTATTTCTAAAATGAGCTCTACTGCAGGAAAAGTAAACCTTTGTCACATTTGTTTGTGTGTTTATTTTCTCTACAATGTTTTGCAGTTGCCATATGAGCTACAGGACATGGTGAACAAGCACATGAAGAGTAGCTTGCCTAACAAGACTCAGGGCTCTCAGGGAGCTCAAGCCCAGGATCCTGACACTCTAAGCCTGACTCCCGCAGACGTAGTGCCCACTTCAGTGATCGCTCGTGTTCTTGAGAAGCCGGAGCCCCTGGTGCTCAACTCAGCCCAGTCTAGCAGCAGTGCAGGTCGGCCAGTGGCTGAAGATGTGTTCGTACATGTGGACATGACAGGACCCCAAGACAACAGTGGAGGGCGTGAAAACGGGGGTCCTGTTCATGCCAGGCCTCCTGTGGGAGCTGGTTCTGATCAGCAGCATGTAAATGGCATGTGTCGAAGCCAGGGCAGCCTGGATGGTCCAACAGGAGAAGATGGGGCAGCCCCTTCTTTTGAGAAGTTGAATCCTTACCCAGCACCTCCACCACATAACCCGCTGTACCCTGGTCGCAAAGTGATCGAGTTCTCCTCCGATGACAAAGTCAAGATTCCCAAGAACAGTCCACTGCCCAATTGCACCTACGCTACTCGTCAGGCCATTTCTCTTAGTCTTGTGCAGAGCGAAGAGGAGGCAGCCGAGCGCCAGCGCACCGTGCCCAATAGCCCTGCTGTGTCTGATGGGGGTTGGCGGTCTGGTACCTCCTCATCTTCTGGTGGAGGGCATGCTTCTCACCAGCACACACCTCCACAGATGGATGCTACGGACACCCTCTCCAGTCATTCAAGTCCCTTTAGCAGCCCCCCTCAGCCTCCGAGCGCCTTTGCAAGCTCTGGTAGCTCAGAGGAGGACCTACTGACCAACTGGCAGCGCATGTTTGTAGAAAAAATGGCACCATCCACGGAAGGCTCCCTCGTCAACCGCACGTCCTTCAGCAGTGAGATGGTGAAAGATCTCCAAAGATGTCACAACGGAAAATCAGGAGTAGGGGCTTTGAGAGGTGCTTACTCTGATGGCGAGGAGGGATCCTCGGCCCAGAGCTGGACAGCAAGTAGAGAGTCCAGTTTGGATACAGACACCAGCAGCATGGCAGACCTCCGGGCAAAAAAGACTCAATACGGTGGTGACTTTTCCCAGGAAGAGGGTGAACACCTACTGATGGCCCTTGATCCACTTGACAATGATGGTGCTAGTGGTGACACCATGGTCACCATTGAGAGCAGTCCAGCCTCTGCTAAGCGTCAAGAGTTTGCTGAAGATGCTGGATCTGCAGGAAGTTCAGCTGAGGAGCGAGATAGCCTGCCCCAGGACTTTCCTGTCATCGGCTCAAGAGTCCTAGCTGCCCTTGAGGATTATGCAGACAAGCCCCCTCAGACTGGCTCCTCACGACCTCTGAAGAGCCCCAAGAGAATGGGGGTTCATCACTTACACCGCAAAGACAGCCTTACCAGAGCTCAAGAGCATGGGAACTTGCTGGACTGAGACTTCCAGGCTTGCTCTTCTCTTTTTTTTGACCTTGAGTGCTCTTCGTCTTACTAGCAATCTCTAGGCATAGCAGCATACGACAAGCGGAAGGGATCGGATCAGCATTGCTGTAGTTATCCCTGATCATGCTGCTGTTGCTGAGGCATCATTGTAACTCTTCGGTCCTCTCTCTGAAGCTTGGAGCTCTTTTATCTGTGGAACCTTATGGTATTGATGGCATCCGTGGTAAAGTACATCAGTCAGTCCGGCTTTCCGTGGACAGTGCTTCAGGGATCGTACAAGAATGTCATAAAAGACATTCCTAGTCCAAGACTTGATTCTGTTTGATGTGACATGATTGAGTGGGCAACAGTAGGACATAGTCATACAATTACACTTCTGTAAGAGAAAGAGTTCAAGATTGAGCAGCATTAGAAAGGATCCCTGTGGCACTCTACGGACATGGAACATCTCACATAATGGGTGTTTTGACATTTGCTTTTGCCCTCGGGTGAGAGTTTTCTACCCAGATAATGATATCTATCCAGTATCCCAGTGCAAGTCCTTTGTAACGGGAGATTGGGATGGTACCAAATGGCCACAGCTTCACAGATACCACTGTGTCAGGCATTCTGCTGGCTGAAGCAGATTAAATGTAATCTATGGGACTCTCTTGTCAATTTTCAGTGCCTAACCCTTGCTCTGACAGAGGGGGCTCTCCATCACCCTTTAAAAGAACATCTTGTTCCTTTAGCCTGCTTTTAGTCATCATAAATTGAAAGGATCCTTCACCTCCAATTTTCAGTTACCTCTCTTCATTGATCTACCACTGTATTTCAACACCCAAGCTATAGACAGCTTTTGTACTTTAATCATTTGATTTTGATGTATTCGGTATATGTTTTAATGATCCATTATACTTCCTGATTTTCATTCTCATCTGTTTTGTTTGACTAATGGTATTTTAAAACCGATTATGATTTTAAGTAAATATATAGAGTTTGTGTATTTATTTGTCTTTTGCTGGTCTAAAGTGTCCCATTACTTCCCTCAAAGCAGTTAAGCACTTGCAGAAGTGTGTATAAGTGAATAGGTTACTAAATCCTGTCATGAAATGAGAAGATATACAATCCCTTTTACACATTAGTTGTTACACTGTAATACAATAGAAATCCAACACAAACAGTGCTGTTTGGCATTTTAAATATTTAATCTTTTTTTTGTTTGTTTCAAAGGTCAGTATTTAAGAGTAAAAAAACCAATACAAGTAAGGCTGAAGAGTTAAAATGTGTCATTGGTATTTCATATCCAATTCAGAGATGTATTAATGTGACCCTTTGCTACTGATGGCACAAATTGCCTTTCAGAGGGCATATTAATATTTCAAAACTATGCATATAGTACTGTGTAAAAACACCACAAAAACCTAGCAAAGCTTTCTCTGTTATGATGACTTCTAAATAAAAAAAGGATGAGCTAAAAAGCTGAAATTTTAACCAGAAACATGCCTTTGTTAGAGTGGCACTGACAAGAACGCATTATTTAGATGATTTTTGTTTGTTTGTTCATTTTAAACCCTGATTTCAAGAAAAGCCATGTTTTGATCTTAACGAATGTAATCATCTTTATGTAGCATCCATTTTCATTGGTTCCTCATTCTTTAGCTGATGCTAATGCTGTATGTATTTTAAGGGGACTGTGCATCCCGCCATCATTTGGTGTTTTTCTGTCTGTATTTTTGTGTGTAAATCTGATTCCTCATGATTATGGATGATCAATCTGTCCAGCAGATACTTTCTACAAGTTGTTTTTTCTGTGCTGTGTTCCCATCATAAATTTCAGTCGTTTCATTTCAAGCCTTGTTCAAATAGCATTTGAACATTTATCAGCTTTTCTCAAACAATACGTTTCAGATGCAACGACTACAAGCATCCACATTCTTTTGTTTTGATAAATATATTTTAGAGACAATTAAACTCTGTGTTGCCTTTTTACGTGCTTGCGTTGTGCTTTTTATTTGCAGTAAGTTTTAGTCTGTTGACCAGTCATTATCCAGATGTCCCACCCTGGGTCAAGTACTTCATGCAGTAGTGTACTTTTAAAAATGTGTGTATTTTTGTTTTTGTTTTTTTTTGTATCTGGACACAGCATACTCTCCACCCTTACTGATTTGAGACATTTACCCTACAGGTGATACGCAACAGTATTCTTCATGCATAAGAATATGTGGTGTACTTGCGATTTTTAGGATTTGTCTTTGAACATATCACTGAGTCAGAAGGTACAGAAGCATGTATTACATTTTAACGGTATTCCTGGAAGGACACCAGACTTTTGTAAAACGCTTGCTGTATATATTCACCTCATAGCTGGTCTGCCACAGCACTCCTTGCCCTGAATAATTCAGCTATATGTTCCTCAGTGAAGGGCAGAATGTGCTCCCAAGTCCACACTTACTCTTCTTGTCTTACACTTTGGTCTTTGTATGTAGTTATCAGTCTTGCTCTGCAATATATGGGAGTACCATTAATAGCCCATGATTAATTGAAGTGTAACTACCCACCATGCTGAATAATTAATATTTTATCATGTTCTAAAATAGTTCTGTGATCAGGGTCTCGCATGACGAAATAGAATCTCTTAAATATTTCAGTCTCGTCAGATGTTACACGGACTGAAGGTCATGCAAATAAATACAAAAAAGACACGACAATGGTCAAAATGTGCAATACACTGAGTGCATAAATAGGACTTTCTCCTCTGCTCTCATGCAACTTTAATAACTCAAATTTAATTGCACGCATAAGAGACGTGCACATCATCTTCAATCCAAGGTGACCCTCTGGTGTGCTGTGCGCAAGTCATTCAAAAGCTTTGCTGAGAAATCTAAGAAATGAAAAAAATGTCAAGGTTATCCTCCAAGCAACACTCCAATCCGCCTTCTGCCCAAAGCTGACGTCTCTGTGATGGAAAAACATATTCATGTTATCTTCTCTTTAACCTTCACTACCTACGGTGCGTAATCTGCGCTCCTTTTCCTTTGATCTATGAATGTTTTTATCCATCAGTAGGCCAACTTTCATGTAGCCATCAACAAAATGTAAAATGTCAAGTCAAATTAAGTCTGAAATTAGCCTTTGTTATTGACTAATGCCCTTGTATTAAAGTGAAAATTGACCCCGTTTATTTTTTCCTGGTTTTACTGTCGTGGTAATCTTTCATCAAAGTGTAATTAGCCCGCTCCCCCTTTACAATGACTCTCCTTTTCGTCAATGTTAATGTTAACCATGAGCCATCGTTAAGCCCTAGTTTAAGCATTGATTCAACAAACTCGGTTTCATTTTAGCATGAAACGACTATTCTCCACCCAGTCAATTCCTTTTTAATAAAATCAAGTTCTGCCCTAAATTTTGTTGAATGTCCCGTTTCACTTGAAAATGTCTTGGAAGTCAAATTAGTTTCATGTTTTGTAGAGTCCTTGTAATTCTTTGAGAAATGTCTTTGTTAGTTGTATTTTATTTTTATTAAACCTCTGTTTTGGAAGTTTTAAGTTATTGGAGTTTAAGTTTTGTGAAACTCCAGATATTATTGTCCTGATGCTTTAACATGGTGGTGTTAATGATAATCCCCATTGATCATCAGGGGATTTTCTAAGGGTGCAAAAAACAGTTTCATGTTGATGTTGGCTCGCACAATCCCATTTCAGATGTGTGCATTTTTACAGTTTGTCTTCTGAATTTGTCCATAATTCCTCAGACAGATTTCTGGTGCATACCTTGTCTTATACCTGTGCAACTGTAGCAACATGGTGCTTTTTTCCTGGTCACCGTCGTCTTGATCCCCCTCCCCATGCAGTGTAATTGTTACTTTTACTTTTTACTTTTACTTTTATCAGGAAAAGCTTCCATGGTTGTGTAGATGTTCCATGCACAGCTTTTTCCCCTAAAAAAATAAATAAAAAAATTCTTATGACTGGGCTAATTTTATTTTCTAAATTTTGTAAACTGATGTATATTTTTAAAGAAATAAAACTATTTTAAACTATTGTTTTGAATGGAACACTTTTGCAGTGTCACCTCTAGGCACTACTATGATTCACGGATGTGTTTTTTCTGTCATATGACGTCTTCTAGCCGTGGAGCGGCAGTGACGATGCAGGAGTGCCTACTTACTGCTGGTCATGAGGGTCCGGTGCTCGTCAGTGGGTGGATACAAGCACCTAGCAACAGTGTGCCAACAGTCCTTAGTTGTAATTGTCAAAACAATTACAGGCACTAATTAGGGTCAGTAAAGCATATCAGCAGAGCTGACGAGAACTATTTGCAGTTTTGTCTGCCAGGTTCCAGGATAATTGCATAAATTAACACCTAAATTAACACATAAATTAGAAAAAAAAAACTTTCCTCCTGTGATTCATTTATAATTCTAGTCAAGTTTTTTGTGCAGGAGTGAAGTGACGTGGCCAAGTATGGTGACCCATACTCGGAATTAGTGCTCTGCATTTATCCCATCCTAAGTGCACACAAAACAGCAGTGAACACACACACCCGGAGCAGTGGGCAGCCATTTCTTTTTGCTGCGGTGCCCGGGGAGCAGTTGGGGGTTCGGTGCCTTGCTCAAGGGCACCTCAGTCGTGGTATTGAAGGTGGGAGAGAGCGCTGTACATTCACTCCCCCCACCTACAATCCCCGCCGGTACGAGACTCGAACCCACAGCCTTTGGGTTACGAGTCCGACTCTCTAACCATTAGGCCACGACTTCCCCTAAAATACAGAGCGAGCCAGCCAGGAGTCGAACCTAGAATCTTCTGATCCGTAGTGAGACACGTTATCCATTGCGCCATATTATTATCTTTTCATTCTTACATTTAAACAGGCTTTTGCACATTTGACACTGACAACAGAGCTCGTTCAGGGAGCAGATCTGCTGGTTTTACCTGTTCTAATAGCCTGAATGCCTCTTTGTAAAATCTGCATTGCATTGTGAGATTCACAAAATTATATCCTTGCATTTTTGCGAAATCACACAAGCAAGAGTGCTGTTATGGTAAATATCAGCACAGTTACAGATTCACACACGAACGATGCACGATGGCGAATGTGATAATGATTGTGTATGCAGGGGTGTCGCTAGACCCTTATTTTAGACATTAATATTGCCTGTTACTTACTGTTTTTGCTCAGCCAACGGAAAAGCAATAGCAGGATTAATTGTCGCGTCTTCGAAATGCACACAGTGCTGTGTTTGATTCCTGAATGAATCAGTGTTTTCGATGACCATTGGTGATTCAATGACTAACTAAAGATACGGACGTAACCTGCAGAAAGACTCGAGATGATTCCAGACTCGGTCAGCATTTTTGTGCACTACGTGTCCTGGCTCAGATCTTCAGTTCCTTCTAGATCAGACTAATGAGTATTTCATCATGCTGAATCCTTTAGCATACTCCTGTCAGTGAAGAGGATTCATTACAGCATTGCCCACTGGAAAATTGGCCTTCCATTTGTCTCAGTTCTTTAGCAGCTTGGTAGATAGATTGGAGGTCTTTCATTAATTATAGACAACGATCTACTTCCTTATTATTTGCCTTTCCTGGCAGCTGCTGAATGAGAGAGGAGATAGACATTAGGTTGGTGTTGGAGTCAAATTTCCTTATTCGATCCCTGACCGGAAATAGAGAGCTGCTTATTCAAAGTCATGGAAGTCGAACAGTAGATATAGTACCTAAAAATAAATGTGCCGGGTCAGAAATGAACTTTGGCATCAAGGGACACAATTTCCAGAGGCATTTTTTTTCATTGGTAAAGACCTTTTTTATAATTACTTAATTATTTTTTATAATTAATTATTATAAAACTTCAACTGCAACGTTTACAGCAGTTGCATTGCATTCATAAGCTCAACGGAAGTGGTCCACCAACAAAGATCACTCCAAAAGCAAGACGTGTAATAGTCTGCAAGGTTGCAAAGGAACCTAGGGTAACTTCTACGCAACTAAAGGCCTTTCTCGCATTGGCTAATGTTCATGAGTCCACCATCAGGAGAACACTGAATACCCATGCTGTGCATGGCAGAGTTGCAAGGAGAAAGTCACTGCTGTCCAAAAAGAACATTGCTGACAGTCTGCAGTTTGCTAAAGATCATGTGGACAAGCCAGAGGGCTATTGGAGAAATGTTTTGTGGACGGATGAGACCAAAATATAACTTTTTGGTTTAAATGAGAAGTGTTATGTTTGAAGAAAAGAACACACTGTATTCCAGCATAAGAACCTCATCCCATCTGTGAAACATGGTGGTGGTAGTATCGTGGTTTGGGCCTGTTTTGCTGCATCTGGGCCAGGACAGCTTGCCATCATTGATGGAACAATGAATTCTGAATTATACCAGCAAATTCTAAAGGAAAATGTCAGGACATCTGTCCATGAACTGAATCTCAAGAGAAAGTGGGCCATGCAGCAAGACAACAACCTCAAGAACATAAGTCGTTTTACCAAAAAATGGTTAAAGAAGAACAATGTTAATGTTTTGGAATGACAGAGTCAAAGTCTGGACCTTAATCCAATTGAAATGTTGTGGAAGGAGCTGAAGTAAGCAGTTCATAGGAGGAAACCCACCAACATCACAGAGTTGAAGTGGTTCTGTACTGAGGAAGGGGCTAGAATTCCTACAAGCCGTTCGGCAGTTACAAGAAACATTTACCTGCAGTTATTGCTGCAAAAGGGGATCAGAACCGATATGAAAGCAAAGATTCACATACTTTTGCACAGCACAGATATGTAACATTGGATAATTTTTCTCAATAAATAAATGGCAAAGAAAATATTTTTGTCTCATTTGTTTGTTTGGGTTCTCTTGGTCTACTTTCAGACCTTGTGTGAAAATTTGATTATGTTTTGAGTCATATGCAGAAATATAGAAAATTCTAAAGGGTTCACAAACTTTCAAGCAGCACTGTATATATGTCTGTCAGTTCTCTTGGTCTACTTTCAGACCTTGTGTGAAAATTTGATTATGTTTTGAGTCATATTTATGCAGAAATATAGAAAATTCTAAAGGGTTCACAAACTTTCAAGCAGCACTGTATATATGTCTGTCATGACAACTCTTGGAGGGATTGGCATGGTAATGTACATGACAATGTCTGCCCATTGCCGCGATTCACGGTTGATGGGCAGACCAGGGAAAGGACCTGACGGGAAATTTCTCCTTATCAGTAGTTTCCTTTTGTTCTTATAGGTGTGTATAATTTGGATCTCTGCGTATGTTGAACTCAGGTGAGCCTTCCTTGGAAAAATTAATTCTCGTCCTGCATCTACAGATTCCAGCATACTAGTTATGCCAACATTGAGGAGAAGCGTGAGAATGGTTATGAAAAGATGCCCCTTGTGCTATCTAAACACTATGCGGGAGACATCTTCTCTTAAGGCTCCCTCCCTGCCATCCAAACCCCTTCAGGATACATCTCGTTTGAATGGCAGGGCATAGGCGGCAGCAGGTCAGGCTGCAGCTTCGTTGCACACCATGGCGGTGCTTCAGGCTTATCAGGCTAATCTGCTGGAAGACCTGGATACAGGCCAGGGTCTATCCCCTGATGAGGTGGCTGAGTTTCGTCGCACCACAGATCTTGCTCTCCGTGCCACTAAGCAGAAGGGCTCTTCGGGCTTCGCCTTCAGATGATGCCCCCATGAGCTTGAGTCATGCGCGGGAGCTTGGTTGGTGAGTACAATCCATTTGATATATCTATTGCTAGTTTATGTGAATTCACTAACTAGTTTATCTGCAGCGCTACTTGGACCTGGTTGTTTTCTGACTGTGTTTTAAGTTTAGGACCTCTGCGAGCACCTCCCCTGCTAAAGTCAGAACCTCTCGCTGTTGACCGATCATGGTGATGGTAGCTCACCCATCGGTACTGGATCCAGGCTGGATGATATCCCTGCATCTTCGGCTTCATGCTTTCTGGACCACGCAGCCGAGTTGCGGGGCCTGCGAGAGCCCTTTTAGCCGATAAGGTCCGCAGTATAACGCTGAAACTTCAGGACCCACGGGTCCTCCATTCGGGTGAACATTTTTCGGAGTATAATACTTCGTGATGTGCTCCCTGATGTCCTGGCTGGGTGTTTGCTTCAAGCAGCTGCCCCGGCCAGGACGCGCTACTCATTTCTCGCTCCGAGGGATCTCCTGAGATTTGAGTCATCCTCTCAACCATCATGCATGTTCTCTGAGAGGGCTCCTCTCGCTGAGGCGTTGAGGGGCCTAATACTCTTTTGTTCCACTCTGTAGTTTGATAGATGGTCAGGCCCGCGGGACCTCCGTCACACTGCCCTTATGGTCGAACCGGTGAATTGCCCCTTTGCGGAGTGGGCTTGAGTATGCTGCGTTCCGAGGTATGAGTGAGATGTGTTTCTGCGTTATTGAGATAGAGAGCATGGGATTGTGTTCAGCTGCATCAGTTTATGGTCTCTCTTTGGGCCCTGCTAGACTGCCCTTCTAATCTAGCGCTGCCATCTGGTCGAGCTGAGAATGCTCCCCTCAATGTGAGGGTTAGTTATGAGCCCATTGCTCCCAGTTTGTGCTTTGAAGGCCCGCCTCAGCTTGAGACCCGAGAGTGCTGCTCCCGAGAACTCTGTATGCAACGATAGGCCCGTTGTTAGGCCTGTCCTGTTGCCTCCTCGGTCAGTTGCCTCTATGCTGGGACCCTTTGGTTCCCTGTTGAAATGTGCGATCCCCTTTTAAGTTAGATCCCATTTCTGATGTACCAGTTGCGGTCAATCTGCTCCCCAGACGTGGCTGTGCTTTCCTCACTGCGGGAGGGTCTTTTATGAGCTTGCCGGTACTGGGCAGGTTATGTGAGTCCTTCTCTCTACTTAAGAGTTAGTTACTTTGCCCCTGGGCTATTGATCGCTTCGGTCAAGCTGGGTTCCTCTCCCTTAGCTAAAGGTTGAGCACTCCGCTCTTTGAGCTCTGTGACAG